GCCGCCTAAATTATCATAATTTTAGAGGCCGCGCCTCAAGTTCAACCTTCTTCATCTTCCTCAAATTTTAAAGTCAAACTGAGAACCAACAGTAATTCATACCCTTAGGTCTGAAACCACTCATATAAATATTTTTAACATCAAATATGAGCAAAGGATCATCATATCGACGGTAAGACTGCAGAGGTACATATCCGGTTGCGATGTTTCGAAATCTCCGCTACTTTTCTACTTCTTAAAAGGAGACCGCCCAACGTCATTACTTGAAGTTTTCACAGAAAGTTCTTTATAAAGAGAAAAAAAAATCACTGGAATTTTCCAAAAATGGTGTTCAGTGGTTTTCCACGTAGAAAATAAAGTATGATAGGAGGTCACCAACGCCGCAAATCGAGATAGGCACGCATTTCTGCAGTTTCACCATCGAGATGAATAATATGATATTATGTATTGTTGTCGAGAGTCTGTGGTTTTGAAGAATTACTGTGTCTCTGTCTTAAATCTCTTAAACATCAACCTGGTGAGATAAAAAATGGTGAACTTATTTCTGTTTCACTTGATTTTGGCATTCAATAGAATTTCTAACGCCCATATAGGTATGCACATATACCTATATACTACCTGGAGAAATATTTTGATTATGAATTTGATTGAAAGCCTCAAATGTTAGAATAGAATAGAAATTACTTTATTCGTTAAAAATGCGCAAAAAGGCAAACAAACGGGTCAACTTAGATTAAACTTAATAGTAACATTCAAAATGAGAAAAATGCATAATAGTTAAATTAGACAATTCTTCAAGTGAATTAGATTGAACAAACGTCTACACCAGTTCTCTAACTGTGTAGAATTCTTTCTCCATTAGGAATTCAGTGATCAATTTTGAGAATTTTTGCAATTCTGTGTTATCATCAATTTTTAAATCCTTTAAAGGAAGTGCATTGTAACACAGTAAACATTGCTTTACATACTCGTTTTCTCTTGGTGTTATGAACTTATTTTTATTTCTTGTGTTAAAATTGTGCTGATCTGATAATTTTGTAACTTTTTTGGAGTTTTTACGAAAGCTGCAGTACAGATTGGCGTCCCTCAGAGTCCAAAATCCAAAATCCGAAATTAATTAACGCCATAAGGGGTTAAATTCACGAATTGTTTCGACGATTTTCCAACCTCCTTGTTAGTGCGGGATTGGATTCGTCCCAAAGCGCTCGGCTGGTACCCGCGGCCCACACCTTTGCAAGCTCCCGTCAAGATGATTGGTGAGTTTCGGGTGCGGTCTGGCTACCCCGATGGGTCCTGCATCCGGCTTGCAAGCGCGACCGGTCCCCGAT